CTGAGCCCAAGGCGTGAGAAGGAGCCAGCCTTGTCAAAAAGCAGGGAATAGGGTTTCCCTGGTGGCGCAGTGGTTGAGAGTCCGCCTGCCGATGCAGGGGACACGGGTTCGTGCCCCGGTCCGGGAGGATCCCACATGCTGCGGAGCGGCTGGGCCCGTGAGCCGTGGTCGCTGAGCCTGTGCTCCGCAACGGGAGAGGCGGCAACAGTGAGAGGCCCGCGTACCGCAAAAAAAAAAAAAAAAAAAGCAGGGAAAAGTGTTTCCCAAAGAGAGAACAGCAAGGGAGAACTCCCAGAGGCAGGAAAGGACTCCACATGTTCAAGGAACCTCAGGTCAGCAGTGTGGCTGGAGCAGAGGCCACATTGTGTAAGGTTTGGGGGACCTGGCAAGAGGCCCGCTCCTCATCTGAGATGAGACAGTGTCGCTGGCAGCCTCGCAGCCTCATCCAGGGTAATGGTCAGGGCAGGCAGGAGGATGGGGGTATGAAAGGCTCTCCTGGCCTTGCCCCTAACCTGGAGCCTACCCTTAGGTTGGTTGGTGAGGGTCTCCTTCTGCTGTAGCTGCTTGGATCCTCTCAAGTCACTAGGAGAAGCTCTCTGTGATGGGGTGAGGGGGTCCCTGGCCCACAGCCGGCCTCCCTTGCACCCTTCCCTGAGGACCTGGGGCTGGAACAGCCAGGCTGACCAGCTGACCTAGGTCTGGGATGGGCTGTGAGCCAGGCCTCTATCAGCTATCTGTCCACAGATGTGCGCTCCTGGACCTTGGGCCTCCAGCCTTCTCAACCCTTAGTGCTCACCTCCGCTCTCACCTTCTGAGCCAGGCTGTCCCTGACCGCCTTGGCCAGAGGAGCAGTTCTCACTCACTTGCTATCACATTATGCATGTGACCTTTCTCAGCAGCAGTGCCTGAGGTGATCTGTATCTGTTTCCCCATTTACTGTTGGTCCCCCTCGCTGTAGCACTAGCCCTCATGCACAGCAGCCCTAACAAATATCTATTGACTTTCTGTACTTTGCTTTTGGCTCAAACCAGAACAGAGAGCAATGTCCTGGGATGCTTTGTTTAGGTCCCTTCTAGAATCACCATTCCCGGTGGTCCTCAGCTATGCCTCTGCCTCCATGGAAGGCATTTTTTAAAACATATTTATTATTTTTTTAAAATAAATTTATTTATTTACTTTTGGCTGAGTTGGGTCTTTGTTGCTGCGTGCGGGCTTTCTCTAGTTGCGGCGAGCAGGGGCTACTCTTCGTTGCGGTGTGCAGGCTTCTCGTTGCAGTGCCTTCTCTTGTTGCGGAGCACGGGCTCTAGGTGCGCGGGCTCAGTAGTTGTGGCACGCAGGCTCAGTAGTTGTGGCACACAGGCTCTAGAGCACAGGCTAAGTGTTTGTAGTGCACGGGCTTAGTTGCTCCGCGACATGTGGGATCTTCCCCGAACAGGGCTCAAACCTGTGTCCCCTGTATTGGCAGGCGTATTCTCAACCACTGTGCCACCAGCGAAGCCCAAGGACAAAGTCCATTTTGAAGATGGAAAGTCAGATAGGATAGCAGCAGGTTTGTGGGGTAGAGACGACCAGGAGCGCCATTTTGGCCCAGGTTAAGCTTGAGTTGCCAAATGGGCACGTAAGCAGGTAGGTTTGTAGACTGTGCAGGGGAGCCCGCCAGTTTAGAGGTGGGTAGAGGAACCTGGGAGGTGGGAAGAGGATCCGGGTGTGTGAAGGGGGAGGGAGTGATCAGCTGGGATAAATGCTGCCCTTGAGGACTGAGAATTACCACTGGATTTGCCAAAGTGGAGGCCATTGTTGACCTTGAAAAAGCAGCTTGGGTTGAGAGGTAGAGCCAAAAACCTGACGGGAGCAGGTTGAAGAGAGGACAAGAAGAGAAGATTTGGAAACAGCAAATGCAGATGACTCCTTCAAGGGGTTTTGCTGGTTAAAGGGAGCAGAAAATGGGGCAGTAGCTGGAGGGAAAGGGGGCCAAGAGGGGTTTTTTTTAAGATGTGAAAAAAATCTTAATTGCTTTTTTAAATTTGAATTTTATTCAGTTTTTAATTTGAATAGGTAATATGTTCCTATGATCCCAAACATCAAAGATTCTGAAGGGCATTTGAAAAAACAATTCTCCTTCCTACCCCTGTCACTCTCCCACACCCCTCAGGCATTCAGTTCCTTGCCCTGGAGACAGCCAGCGTAATTAGTCCCAGAGCACACACTCATGCACGTGCGCGCACACACACACAGCATTATTTTTCTTTTTATATGAATAGTAACATCCCATATAGACTGCTCTGTGCCTTGCATTTTTTAACAATATATTCTGAATATCATTCTATCTCAAGACACAGAGAGCATTTGCATCCTTTCTTATGGCTTTGCATTATTTCCCTCTATGGTACACTGTGTATATTTTTTCATCCAGTCTTCCACTGATGGACAATCATTTGAGATGGGTTCTATCATTATCTCCATTTTACAGAGAGGCAAGGAGGCGCTGAGAGGTTCACCGGCTCCACCACGGTTGCTAGCTAGTGCGCTGCAGCGTGGGAACTCCATGCCCTTAACCACCACTGCTCTCTCCTCATCCTCCTGGATTAGTTTCCAACCCTATTTCTCCTTCACTCCTACACTCTTAGCAATTATTTTGCTATCCCTTTGTTCATTCAATATGCACATATTGAACATATTTGCACAAGCGCTGACCTTGTGCCAGGCACAGGGCTAGGCCCTGAGGATGCAGAGGGACAGGACAGAGAAGTCCTCTGCTGTCGAGGAGCTTGCAGACTAAGTCTTTGTGTGTTTTTGTAAGCTACCTCAAAGCTTCTGTGGAAGGACGCAGAGAATTAATAAAGAAGCCTGGTCCTTGTTTTAACTAATGAGGAAAGCAATCGTGCCAGCAAATCACTGTTGCAATCCTATGAGCTGAATACTATAAAAAAGCCTGGGAACTCTGCAATTCTGGCCTCATCCCCTGAGCCTGGCCCTCCTCCAGTTTCCCATCTCAGTGAAAGGCCTTAGGCGTTGGCTCCTCCCACTTCCGTCCACAGGTCCTCCACCCTATCTCTGAGAGCACCCCCTGAAGACCTCTGGACTCGGCCCAACTTTGCTCTCCATGGCTACCAGCTTGCTTGGGTCCTGTCTTTCAGGGGCCACCCAGTAATTTCCTCCCTGGTGTTCTTGTCTCCACACCAGCCCCTTCCCATCCACTGTCCCTCCAGCTGATGTGTCACTATGTCATTTCCCCGTTCTGACCTAGAAGGTGCTGCCCTTGGGCTAATGTGGTGGCAGCATAGCCCAGTGGTTAGGATGATCATGGGCTCTGGAGCCTGAATCCCAGCTCTGCCACTTATTAGCTATGTGACCTAGAACGACCCACTTAACCCCTCTTTGCTTTAGGTGAGGCAAAATGAGAAGAGATAAATGATAATGAGATAAATTAGATAACAATGGTAATAGCTCCTACCTTATACAGCTGTCGTGAGGATTAAAAGTTAATGGTTAGTATAATAATAAGGCCCTTGTGATCTGGACCCTGCCTAGGTCTCCAGTCTCACCAGTTTTCATCTCCCCTATAAATTTTTGGATCCCTGAGAGAGCATCAAATCTTCTGGCCCCGCCCTCCCTCTCCTCCCTGCACCCCCTCTGAGCTGAAGCTGGGCCTGGGAACCAGTTCTTCTTCCCCACTGGATCTCTAACAGCTGTAAAATAGTGTGTTGGATGAATGAATGAGAAAGGTATTACATTTGGGTTCCAATGGATGAGTAGGAGTTTTTCAGGTAAAGAAGTGTTTAAGGTTGGGCTATATAAAAGGGCTTGCTCCATCCTTCGGGCTGGAAACTCCCAGTGCCAGGAGGACAGAAGGGAGGTGAGGCTGGAGAGGAAGGCTGGGTTTAGTCCAGAATTTCTGCGTGGACAAAAGATATTCACGAAGGGAAGGCTTTTGTGACCGTGTGGGAGGTCAGCTGCAGGAAGGACTTGAGGGCAGGAGCTGGGATGTGTGGTGGCTAAGCTCCAGGGCAGCAATGAAAAGGCTCTCAGGGCAGTGATTATAGTGGTGATAGCTGTGGGAATGGAACGAAGAAGGAAAATTTGAGAGATATTTGAGAAGAAGAAATAATGATCTCCTAAATACTTTTTAAATTTTTATTTATTTATTTATGGCTGCATTGGGTCTTCGCTGCTGCGTGTGGGCTTTCTCTAGTTGCGGAGAGCAGGGGCTACTCTCCCTTGCAGTGCATGGACTTCTCATTGCGGTGGCTTCTCTTGTTGCGGAGCACGGGCTCTAGGCGCGCGGGCTTCAGTAGTTGTGACATGCGGGCTCAGTAGCTGTGGCACATGGGCTTAGTTGCTCCACGGCATGTGGACCAGGGCTCGAACCCGTGTGCCCTGCATTGGCAGGTGGATTCTTAACCACTGCGCCACCGCCACCGGGGAAGTCCCGTCACTGAGGTTTTTTTTTTTTTGTTTGTTTGTTTGTTTGTCCCAGTATATTATCACTTTTCAATTGAGATGTAATCTGCCTACAATTAAATGCAAAGATCTTAAGTGTTGAGCTGGATGGGTTTTGGCAATTATATACAAATATATACAATTATATACATCTCTGTAACCAGCCGCTAAAAGATACAGAACATTTCTATCATCCGAGAAAGGTCCCGCCAGTCAATTCTCTCCGTTTCCAGAGTACTGTAGGGTCTAAGCATACTGTGTTTGCGTTCTGAAAGGATCACTCTGGCTGCAGCTTAGAGGACGGCCCGAGGCCAGCAAGGAGAGTACTTACCAGCTGGGCGAGAGATGACTGGATTGCACCGAGGTCGCCTAGCAACCTGAGAGCGTTGTCGGAGGGTTGACAGCTGCGCCTGCGGCAGGCAAGGCCCCACCCCACCCCACCCAGGCCCCTCCCCCCGCCCCGCCCCGCGCACGAGCCGGTAGACAGCTCCGCCCCGCGTCGGGGGGCGGGCCGAGGATTCTTATTGGTCGGTCCTCCGGAAGCTACCGGATTCGGAGTCTCGCCTAAAGTCTTGCCGCTGCCGTCTGCGTGTGGGTTCGCGGTGCGTGGCGGTGGCGCTTGGCGAGGGCTGTGTGTGGTTGGCCGCGCACCCCTCCCGCTCGAGCCCGAGACCCTGCGGCTGAGCCTCATTTTCCTCTCTTTGTAGTAGCGGAGCACGCCCCGCACGGGACACCCCTACGGTGCAGCCCTATTGCTGGCCTGGGGGCTGGTCACAGCTATTGGAACGGGACGGAGCGGGCTCGGGGATCCCCACTGCCCCAGGCTCCGGTGCGTGACTGACCCACCCGTTCCCAGAGCCCCCCGCGCAGACCGGGATGTTCGTCCTGGTGGAGATGGTAGACACCGTGCGGATCCCCCCGTGGCAGTTTGAGAGGAAGCTCAACGACTCCATTGCCGAGGAGTTGAACAAGAAGTTGGCCAACAAGGTACTGGGTCCACGGGGTCGCGGGCAGGCCTTGGCACGGGAGGGCCCAGCACTGCCTACCCACCCGCTGCCGGCCTGGCCATGCCAAGCCTTGGAGTTGGGCAAATAGCTTAAAGTCTCAGAATTCAGTTTCTAAGCCTGTGCATGGGATGGGGGTAATCCTTAACCCACTAGGATGCTGGCAGGAATCAAAAGAAAAACTGGGCTTGAAAAAGGCCTTGTAACTGGGAATTGCTAGCGTCCCCACTTCCAAATTACTTTGCAATCTAGGGCGAGTCCTTTACCCCCTCTGGGCCTCAGTTTCCATTTGTAAAATGGAAATAATAATTGCTGTCCAACCATGCATTGTTTCTGTGAAGATGGCTGGTAGTTTAGCTGTAAGGAGGTTTATCCATTCATTCCTGCAAAAAAATGTTTGTGCACCTTTTATGTGCCAGGCTAGCATGCCTTAGTGCTGGGTCCTCAGAGGCCTTCCCATGGCCTTTTCTGAAGCAGCCCTGCCTCTGCAGTTATTCTGTGCCATATCACTCTTTCCTTCTTAGCACTCACCACTCTTTTCTTATTTACTTGGTTACTGTTTTTCTCTTTCCCTCTCCATGAGGGCAAATGACTGTTGTCTTCTTCCCCATGGTATCCCCCATATTTAGCCAGAGTAGATGTTCCATAATTGTTTATTAAATGAATAAAACAGACAAGCTTCTGCTCTGTAGTGTGGTGGGGAAAGCTGATATGGGTGAGAGACTCCCACAGCTGAGTGTGTGATGAGAAGTTGAGGTAAATGTTATGAGAACAGGTGTTCACAAGCCTGTGGAATGAAGGAACTTCACCTACAATGAGGGAGACAAGAGGGTTTGCTAGGGAGGTGGTGCTTGAGCTGAGATTTGGTGGTGAGGAAGAACTAACATAGGGGATTTGTTTTTTTTTTGGGGGGGAGGTTCTGGGCAGAGAGTAGAGCTGTGCAGGAAGCAGAAACAGGATGTGCAAAGGCCCTGTGGCAGGAGGGAATATTGCATCTATCATGGCATGGAGGGGCTGGTCTGGCCTGAGCACACAGAGAGAGGAGAGGCTGGAAAGTGGTGGGAGCCAGGTCATACAGGGCCTGCAGGACTTCATCGAATAATGGTCTTCAGCAGGAGGTAGTAGGCTGAGGAGAGAGCCGGAGGAAGATTGGCTGGCTGTAGGCAGGAGGCAGGTCCCTTCCATAGAGCCTGAAATCACAGAAGGTGGAGTGTACAGACCTGGGGATTTGTTGTTGGTGGAGAGAACTCATGGAGTCCTTAGTGGATGCTGTCTGATTACTTTGTGAGGTAAAAGGAGAAGGGACCTCTAAAGGACAAAGAGAAAAGGTGTGAAAGTTACAAGAAGGGTATATAGTCCTTCTGTAATGCAGGTCCTTCTCTGACCTGTTCAGACAAATACTTCTTTTTTTTTGGCCACGCTGCGAGGGTTGCAGGATTTTAGTTCCCTGACCAGGGATCGAACCGGGGCCCTCAGCAGTGAAAGAGCTGGACTGCCAGGGAATTCCCAGACAAGTATTTCTGTATTTGAATCACTGAGTCATTTGAGAGGAGGCCACACAGAAGAGGTCCAAGGTCCAGCCAAGGGCACACATCTCCTTGTGCTTCCAAAGCCAGCCGACTCTGCCTCATTGCCCTGAGGTCTGGCCGGGACTCTGAGTTCTCTGAGCTTCTTGCTAATCCTTGAACAGTCCTGCAAGGTCTCTAACTGGGAGGTGATGACGCTGGTGTCAGATAAACAGACACCAAGCAGCTAGTCCTTTGCAGCATCCTGGAGTGGAGATGGGTCATGGGATGTCCTCTGCCTGTTCTCTGCCCAGTTTCAGGGCCTCCCATGTGTCACTCTGCCAGCCTCAGTCCCTGTGGCCCCGTCTGTGTGTCCGAGACTTTGTGAGCAGAACAGTGATTAGCTGTGGTCTGACACTTTAAACTGTGAGCTCTAGTATGGAACTGGGGCCTTGGAAAGTGTAGGTTTAACCAGCGGTTCCCCACCACTGATCCTTATTAGTAATGATAATGATCCTTGATTGGTGATTGTTATTTCTAGCAGGTGAGCTGGCTACTGAGCTAGGTACTTCGCAGCTGTTCTCTTGATTTAACAACCCCACAGCCTGGTATGTCCATTTTTGCAGATGGGGAAACTGAGGCTCAGAGAAGTGACCTTGGAGGTCACACAGGGAGTGGTGGAGCTGGCGTTGTAACCTGCATCCGTCATGTCACCAAAGACCTTGTTCTTTCCAGAGTTCAGCATCCTCCCCGAGTTCCTTACCTCAGGCAGTGCCCCAATGCATTTCCAGCTGTAAAACGGGGATAATCATACCTGCCCGGCGCGGGGTGGATCTCAGGAGAGACTGCGCAGGGAGCTGGGCCTCGAGGTCACGGGCTGTGTACACGGATGCCCACAGGTCGTGTACAACGTGGGACTCTGCATCTGCCTGTTTGACATCACCAAGCTGGAGGACGCCTATGTGTTCCCGGGGGACGGTGCATCACACACCAAAGGTGGGTGCCCTCCTTCTGGGCACTGGGCTTCTTGGGGCTCAGTTTTCTGTAGGGGGAGTCCTCGTCAGGGTGTTGGGAGACCTGGGGCCTAGTCCTGACTCTGCCAGGAATTTACTGGGTGATCATGGGCAGAATCTTCCCCTTTCTGGGCCTCAGTTTCCTATCTATAAGAAGGAGAGGTAGACAAGGTGATTCTCAAGGCTTCTCCAGCTCTGAGATTGTGGCTCTGTGTCTGTGTCCCCTTTGGTCTTGTGTGTTATATGAGCCCTGCTCTGCCTGGCTCTCAGGCTGCTCAGGTAGGGTGGGTGGACAGATAGTGGAAGACAATTGGAGTACGCATTGCTAGCTTAAAAATGGGGAGAGCGGAGGGGAGCACAGCTGCCCCTCTTGGGGAGGTGGCTGGTTGGGGGTGGGAGACTTTGAGGGACACCAAGACATAATGGTTAAAAGTGTGGCCTCTAGGTTTAAATCCCAACTCTGCTACTTACTTGCTGTGTGTCCTGAGCGGAACATGTAACTTCTCTGTGCCTCTGTTTCCTCTTCAGTAAAATGCAGTTAACAGACTTTATTTTTTTATTTTTTAACAGTAGACGTTATTGTTGTGAGAATTACTAAGTTAATATGTACAAAGCTCTCAGGACAGGACCTTGGCACAGAGCGAGTGCTTGACGGCTCATCGACTTGAATTGTTTCTCCGATTCTGTGGGTCAGCTCGGTGGTGGTCTTCTGGGCTGGCTTGGCCAGGGCTGGATGGTATAGGGTGGTCTCATGTGTCTGGTGGTTGACAGACTGGTTGGATGGGGGGCTTCGGCTGGGTTTCACGTCTCTGCTCGGTGTGGTGTCCTCTTTCAGTAGGTAGACTGGGCACCAAAGCACAGATGCTTTTCAAGCCTCTGCTTATATCCCATTGGCCAGAGCAGGTCACATGGCCGAGGCCAGAGTCTAAGGATGGAGAAGGGCTTCCTCTGGATGGGAGGGGCTGCGGTCACATTGGCAAGGGATGTGCACCCCGGATGGGAGGGAGGAGTAGAGGGCGGGTCACCTTGAGGAGAGGGCTCAGGGAGGAAGCGGGGTGTTCTTCTCTCCCCTGCCTGGACAAACCAGATCAGAAGCAGAGGGCAAGGGCGCCATTGAGGTGGTCCGGGGCTAGTCGGGGTGCAGGCATGCCTCTCGCCTTCCGCTGGGCGCTCGCCCGCCTGCCCCAGACCCTCTGAGTCAGAATCTCTGGGGAGGGGCCTGCAGGGATTCTCACACGAGGCCGCGTTTCAGGAGCCCTGCCCTGGCCCGTACTGGGGGGCGGGGGGGAGTGTCAGCCTCAGCACAGAGATGTCCGAGCATTCCAGAATGTGCAGTGAGGCTGCCTGGTGTGTGTGTCCAGGAATCCAGAGACTTAATTAGTTCTCACGGATGCCGTTGAACTCTGTGGAGAGCTGCATGTGGGGACCAGGACGGTTTCGTTAGCAGAAAGACCAGTCGGTGATGTGGACACAAGGCCACGAGGGCTCTGAGCCCAGTCTCTGTCGTGGGACAGGGGCCTTGCTGTCCAGGAGACAAGTGGTCAGGGGGCCAGAACTTCAAGAAAAACTCAAAGGGACTTCCCTGGTGGTGCACTGGTTAGGAATCTGCCTGCCAATGCGGGTGACACGGGTTCGATCCCTGGTCCGGGAGGATCCCACATGCCGCGGAGCAACTAAGCCCGTGAGCCCCAACTACTGAGCCTGCGCTCTAGAGCCCGTGAGCCACAACTACTGAGCCCACGTGCCACAACTACTGAGGCCCGCGCACCTAGAGCCCGTGGTCCGCAATGAGAGGCCCGCGCACCACAACGAAGAGTAGCCCCGGGCTTCCCTGGTGGAGCAGTGGTTGAGAGTCCACCTGCCGATGCAGGGGACACGGGTTCGTGCCCCGGTCTGGGAAGATCCCACATGCCACAGAGCGGCTGGGCCCGTGAGCCATGGCTGCTAAGCCTGCGCGTCCGGAGCCTGTGCTCCGCAGCGGGAGAGGCCACAGCAGTGACAGGCCCGCGTACCGAAAAAAAAAAAAAAAAAAAAAGAGTAGTCCCCGCTCACTACAACTAGAGAAAACCTGCGTGCAGCAACAAAGACCCAACGCAGCCAAAAATAAATTAATTAATTAAAAAAAAAAGAAAAAAAACTCAGAGAAAAAAGTTAAATATGAGGAAATTCTGTCCATTCATTTGGTTGTGTCTGCTGCTTGGTGTAGGACTTCACTGCTGGTTTTCTTATCCACCCTGCTTCACCCTGGGTCCCCTGTGTTCTTGGGAACGAGGTACAGGAGTAGAGCCCAGGGTTAGGCCTGTCACACAGACCTGGAGTTGAATTCTGGCTCAGGCCCCCCTTCATGGGGACCTCAGGCATGTGACTACCTTCCTCAGCCACACTCTCCTCATCTGTAAAATGGGGTTAACACTCGTGGCTACAAGGCTCCTCAGGGCCTGTTGAGCATCGCGCAGGGTGTCTTTGGTCTGTGGTGGGGATCGGTGGCCAGGCTTCGAGGCTGAGCACAAGCCCAGGCCCCCCTCCTGCCACTGCCTCGCCAGGGCTGTGGCCAAGGGTGTGCTGAGCGGGGCTCCGCACCGGGCCTCTGCCTTCGCTTAGAGGATTATTCATTTGCCAGTTGCCTTCTGCTTCTTTCTGTTTCTCCTCCTACTCAGGCCAGATTACTTCACTTGTCTCTCTGAGACTCACTCCTGGAAAAACGGTGTAATGATAATGGTACCCGCCTCACACAGCCCTTGCGAGGAATAAACGAGAAAAACCACGGGAGGCCTTTGGTCCGGTGCCTGGCGCATAGTAGGTGCTCACGACATGTTAGCCTTTGTGACTGGTGACACTGGCCCCGACTGGCCAGCCTTATCCCTTGTCACTTAGGGTACCTTTCCTTGGCACCAGCCCTGTGTTCTCCATGCCTGCCAGGCCGGCTGGACTCGCCTCCTTCCCCTGCCTCTGGCTGAACTGGGGCTCCGCTCTGGGCTCTGGAGCAGCCTGTCTTTGTGCCCACCGTTTGCTTTGCTCTTTTCCCTTGTTTTTTAAGTTGTGATAAAACACATATAACATAAAATTTACCATTTTTAGTGTATAGTTCGGTGGTATTCAGTGCATTTACATTGTTGTGTGGCCATCACCACCATCCATCTCCAGAACTTTATTGTCTTCTTTTTTTTTAAACTTATTATTTTTTTAAATTTTATTTTATTTATTTATTTTTGGCTGCGTTGGGTCTTTGTTGCTGCGTGCGGGCTTTCTCTAGTTGCAGCGAGCAGGGGCTGCTCTTCGTTGCAGTGCGCGGGCTTTTCATTGCAGTGGCTTCTCTTGTTGTGGATCATGGGCTCTAGGCGCGTGGGCTTCAGTAGTTGTGGCTCACGGGCTTAGTTGCTCTGCGGCATGTGGGATTCTCCCGGACCAGGGATTGAACCCGTGTCCCCCGCATTGGCAGGCGATTCCTAACCAGTGCACCACCAGGAAACTCCCTTTATTGTCTTCTGAAACTGAATCTCTGTCTCCACTAAACAACAGTTCCCCAGCCCCTGCCCCCCAGCGCCTGTCCACCACCATTCTACTTTCTGTCTCTATGAATTTGACTACTCCAGGTACCTCATGTGAGTGGAATCATGGTATTTGTCCTTTGTTGAAACGCATCATATCCCGAGGCAGCCCTACCTATCCTGGGACAAAGCTTGCTCGAGCCTACAACTAAGAATGGGTCTTCCTCTTCTTACTGGTCCTTCAGACCCATCCTTTTTGACTTTCCAGTCTTCCCACCTGCAGGCTAAACATCCCTAGAACTTCAGATGGGGGTCTTGGGAGGTGGCCCGCACCACCCCAGCTGGCCCTCCAGCTGGTCTGTGGCCTCCTATTTAATTTTATTTATTATTTTTTTTGGCCGTGTGGCATGTGGGATCTTAGTTCCCCGGCCAGAGATCGAACGTGTGCTCCCTGCAGTGGAAGCGTGGAGTCTTAACCACTGGACCGCCAGGAAAGTTCCTTCCTTGTTGTTTTTTAATTGAGATATAATTCACATACCATGAAATTCACCCATTTAAAGCATACGGTACAGTAGCTTTTAGTATATTCACCAGGCTGTGTGACTATCACCACTGGCTAATTCCAGAACATTTTCATCACCCCCAGAAGAAACACGGTACTCATTAGCAGTCACTCCCCGCTCTGCCAGCCCCTGACAACCATTAATCGACTTTCTGTCTCTGGATTTGCCTATTTTGGACGTTTCATATGAATAGAATCGTAAAATACGTGGCCTTTTGTGACTGGCTTATTTCATGTAGCATAATGTCCTCGAGGTTCTTCCATGTTGTTGCATGTGTCGGTACTTTATTCCTTTTTGAGGCTGAATAATCTCCCATTGTATGGATATATCACATTTTGTTTATACATTGATCTGTTGTCAGACACCTGGGTGGCTCACCATTTGCTTCTGGAGGTAATTGTTCCAGCCTTGAGCTCCCTGGGCACAGGATCCTGTGTCATCCTGCCCCTGCAAGCCCAGTGCCCAAATCGGGCCTGGCACAGACCTGGCAGAGGCTCCGTGGGGATTTATTAAAATGAACTGACATTGAGTCATACAGGGGACAGGATTTTTCCATACTGTGCGTAAGTGACATCTGCCCTCATCTACCCTCTCCGAGGTCAGCATGCGGCTCTCCCATCTTAAGAAGGCTCAGACGGCTTGTATTTGTCTCCTCCCAGGGAGGGAGGGGCACCAGCTGCCTCCTCTCCTTTTCCCACATTTTCCTGCCTGGTGGAGCCATGGGGAAGCAGCCTGGTGGGGAGCTGGGGGCCAGGTGGACCCTGCTGTCCTTGGGGTGAGGCTGCCAGTCCAGGCAGCTGAGGGCATCGGTAGCAGAAGCCTGTGTTTGGGTATTAAACCCTTTCTGAGGAAGGCAGATTCAACCCAGTGTTCCTGTCTCATGGTTCAGAAAGACTTGGAGTTTCCCCTTGGCAGAACAGCTGTGTGACTGTGAGTGGGTAACTCAGCCTCTCTGAGCCACTTGCGCATGGTCACACTGGGGAAGCATGACATCTGACACAGGTGGATCGTGATGGGCACTGGGCGACTGCCAGGGGGCAGCCTTATGGTTATTTACTAGCCCTGGCGGAATTCAGGCCCTAGACACCACCTTTGGGGCTCGGTGGACACCCCGTGTGTGTGCGTGCGCGTGTGTGTGCAGGGCAGGGGGCAGGCGCTCAGCAAGGGGCAGCAGTGATGGAGTGACGGCTTCTGCCAGGCTGTGGAGTCAGATTCTGTGATGTGGGCACAGACCTTACCTGATATTTTTCTTGGGGTCAGGTGAGTAGGGACCACATAGGACAGGACTTGAGAACCCACAGAGGCATTTTTGCTGGTTTATTGGCTCTTCCCCCACCCCAAATTCCAGAGCATTTTTAGCATCCTGTTCCAGGTCAGAGCTATGCCTGGGGCAAACTTTGCCAATCAGCGGGAGATGGGGGAACTCGTTTCCAAACCTGGTTCTCTTTGCCAGTTGCTTCTGCCCTTGTTAGAATTTAAAGGAGAGAGCCTGGGCTTCCCTGGTGGCACAGTGGTTATGAATCCACCTGCCAACGCAGGGGACATGGTTCGAGCCCTGGTCCGGGAAGATCCCACATGCCGCGGAGCAACCAAGCCCGTGCGCCACAACTACTGAGCCTGTGCTCTAGAGCCCGTGAGCCACAACTACTGAACCCACGTGCCACAACTACCGAAGCCTGCACACCTAGAGCCCATGCTCCACAACAAGAGAAGCCACCACAATGAGAAGCCTGCGCACCGCAATGAAGAGTAGCCCCTGCTCACCGCAACTGGAGAAAGCCCGCAAGCAGCAACGAGAACCCAACGCAGCCAAAAATAAAAATAAATAAATTTTTTTAAAAAAGAAAAAAAAGAACAGCAGCCCGGTAATTTTAAAAATAAATAAATAAATAAAGGAGAGAGCCTGGAGGAAGGCTGGAATTGACTTTGGAGTCATTGCTGGCCCAGAATCTGAGCTCAGGTGTGACTGATGGATTTGGGAACTGAGCCTCAGTTCCAGGGCCAGTGCTGCCGGCCTCTCACAACGGGGGCCAAGTTGTGGCCTTGCCGGGGACGGGGCCGAGGGTCCCTCCGGCTTAGCTAACAGGTCTAGGCCCACGGGCGCCTGGCGTGGACTGCTGTGTGGCTTCTTGGTGCCGCCACGGGGTCAGCATGCCAGTGAGTGAGAGTGGACACTGGAAAGCACAGGCCACCCCAGCTGGAGCAGCCTTTCCTCATGGCCTGCTCATCACCGACACGCTTTCATTTCCAGTTCACTTCCGCTATGTGGTGTTCCATCCGTTCCTGGACGAGGTTCTGATTGGAAGTATCAAAGGCTGCAGCCCGGAGGGAGTGCATGGTAATGTTGGCCCTGAGTCCTCACATGAGACCCGGGAGCACGCTGGGGGCAGGTGGCGGGGCTGGCCTGCCTCCCTTTAGCTTCTGTGCTGGGCCGCATGGTCAGGGGAGGGGTCACATAGGGAAAGAGAACCTTCCTGAGCTGTCTGAGCAGCTTGTGCGCAAGGGGGATACTCAGCCCCCTGTGCTATAACTGTGAGGACCTAGGCCAGCTGGGGGCCTTCACTGCAAGGCTGTGAGTCAGGACCTCAGGGCAGGCACTGGAGCTGGCAGAGGTGACTCGGGGCCCTTGGCATCCGCTGGTCCCTGTTGTGCAGTGTCCACCTCGGGTTTGGGTGGCTGCTCAGGCTGTGGCAGAGGGTTGGGCTCTGGGGTGGGGACGGGGCCCAGGGTTCCATGGGCAGCACAGGGTAAGGGCTTGCTTGTCCATTCTGAGCCCTGTCTCATGCTGTCACCTGCATGTCTTCCAGTCTCTCTAGGGTTCTTCGATGACATTCTCATCCCTCCAGAGTCACTGCAGCAGCCGGCCAAGTTGTATCCTCCCAAGGTTAGAGTGGGTCATGGAGGAGCTCGGGCCTCCCCAAAGGAAGGTCCTCACTCTTCGAGGTGGCCTTGGGTCCTGTGACCTGATGCTGCTGGCCTCTGCCCACCCCTCCAGCTTGCATTTTGCTCTGGAAGCACTGACCTGCCTGTGCTTCTCACACTGACCGTGGTGTCTGCACACCTGTGCCTCCATCTGGACTGTCAGGCCTGGTTCCAGCTCAGTGCGCTTAGGTTGTCCCTTCAGGAGTCATCTCAAAGGTCACCTCCCTCTAGAGGCCCGCCTGACTGGCCCACCTCCCCCCTTCAGCTAACATTTGAGGGCTTGGCTCTGCGGGTCCTAGGCTGGTTGAAGATTCCCGTTGCTGGCTCCCCCATTGTCCCTGTCCCGGCCCTTGCCTGCTGCACTGGGGTTGCTGTTTCTGTGGGTGCTCACCGAGACCGCTCACCAGGAGGGACCCCATCTTGTCCCGACTGTACCCGCAATGCCTAGCATGGGACCTGGCGCAGAGGAGGGGCAGGACCCATCTGCGGGGTTGCCATTAGAGGGCAGCATGTCTCTTCGGTGTGAGCTCTGCTGATTGGAGGGGGGCCATCCAGCAGAGCTGGCAGTAGGGAGCGTGTGTGTGTGTGTGTGTGTGTGTGTGTGTGTGTGTGTGTGTGTGTGTTCGCGCGTGCGCGTGTGTGCAGGGCGGCGGCTGTGTGTGGCTGTGGAACTTGTCAGAAAACCTGGCCCAGGCTGGCCTGTCCCTCAGCCTGGTGACCTCCCATCCTGCCGTGTCCTCTTGGAAACTGGGCAAGTCCTTGGGCTGCCTGCTGTCAAGTGTCCTGAGGCACGGAGAGGGATGTGGAATTGCACTACGCGGAGAACGCTGGCCAGCGTCAGTGAGCACTCGGGCCGACCCGAGGGGTCCTGGGGAAAGCACTTTCCACGTGTGCTGTTTTATTACCTCCCCACCGCAGCCCTGGAGGGCAGGCCTTACTGTAATCTGTGTTTTACAGATGGGGACCCTGAGGCACCGAGAGCTTGGGCCTGGCCCCTGGTGGGTGGTGGAGCTGAGGTTTGAACTTGGCAGTCGGCCTCTGAGAGGACACGTGGGCAGAGTAAGACCTCAGGCACCGAGGGGCTGTGGTCATTCCATGTTGAGGCAGAGCTCGCGCTGTGCTCTGGAGCTTCTTCCTGCTCTGGTGTCCCGTGGTGCCTGCCCGGGGTTCGTGTTCCCAGTCTGGATCCTGGTGCCCAGGAGATCCAGCCACTCACTGGGCCCGGCCCGACCTTGCCTCTCGCACACAGCCCTGGGCCCGCTTTTCCTGTGACTTTCCAGAGCATCTCAGCCTGGGATTGGATTTTCCTGGGGCGTGCCGTGGGAGGACTCCCCAACACTCTGGCTCCCCCGTGGCCTGGTTGTTGCCTTGACCCTGCGCCAGCGATGAGGCAGAGCAAGTGTGGGTGTGGGAGTACGAGACGGAGGAAGGAGCACACGACCTATACATGGACACCGGCGAGGAGATCCGCTTCCGGGTGGTGGACGAGAGCTTTGTGGACACGTCCCCCACTGGGCCCAGCTCAGCCGATGCCACCTCTTCCAGCGAGGAGCTGCCAAAGAAGGAGGCTCCGTACACGCTTGTGGTGAGCTGTCCTCATAAGACTGCGGGGGAACCGTGGGGTGGGAGGCCCCAGCAGGTCAGGGTGCAGGTCCCTGTTGTGGGGTCTTGGGCAGTCCCTTCTCCCTGGGGAGCCCCATCTCTACAGGCCAGGGCAGCGGTAATTCTTTGTTTTTTCCTTATAAATTTATTTTTTGGCTGCGTCGGGTCTTTGTTGCTGTGCGCGGGCTTTCTCTAGTTGCAGGGAGCGGGGGCTACTCTTGGTTGTGGTGCAGTGGCTTCTCCTGTTGCGGAGCACGGGCTCTAGGCACACGGGCTTCAGTAGTTGTGGCTCATGGGTTCTAGAGCACAGGCTCAGTAGTTGTGGCTCACGGGCTTAGTTGCTCTGTGGCATGTGGGATCTTCCCGGATCAGGGCTCGAACCCGTGTTCCCTGCATTGGCAGGTGGATTCTTAAACACTGCGCCTCCAGGGAAGCCCAGGGCAGCAGTAATTCTTGCAGCGAGGTCATAAAGCTGCCATGGCTGTTGGGGAGGGCAGGGGAGTCAGACCCCTGCCCACAAGAGGGATGACACCAACTGGACAACAAGGCTGTGGGTCAAGGGGCTGAGAGAGGAAGAAACCAAGGGAGGGGTGGTAGGGCTGCTCCCACTACAAACCCACACGGCCTGAGGTGGCAGGGAAACTGCAACCGGCCAGATCTGACTTGGGTCCCTTTTGTCTTTTATTCTCATGAAGCCAGACAGTGAGCGACACATGACAAAAGTGGGATTTCAGGGGCCTGCTGGTAGGGTTTTCTGGTATAACGTGGGCCCCGTAGTTCACTTTTAGGGCAGCTGTCTTTGTCAGGATTGTGGGTGGCCCAAGGCTTCCCCTCTGCGTGTGTTTGGAGGCTGGGGCTCAAGGTTACTAGGCCTTTCTGGCAGAACTAGACCACGAGTGGCTCAGAAGCCAGGCCCAGGACTGGTCTGCTGGTGCCTGTGTGGGCCAGGCCTGGGGGCGAGGGGTGAGGGGTGAGGGGCTGTACCCTCGGTAAACCAGCACTTTCCTTACATGCCTCAGGAGAGGCTGGAGCAGGAGAGGGGAGTCTGGACCAGCGGGGAGTACTGCTGCAGCTCCAGCATGTCCCCAGAGCCTCCTGGCTGGGGTGTGCCCCACCCTCCCTTTGGCCTGTGCTGGGCGCCTAAAAGGAAGGGCCTCCATTGCCTCCTGTCCAGGTTGGCTCCAGCTCTAAAGGTAGATGAAACATGCCTGTTCTCTCTCTCCCCCTGGCAGGGATCCATCAGTGAGCCGGGCCTGGGCCTTCTCTCCTGGTGGACTAGCAGCTAGCACTGGGGCTTTGACACTGGACCCTGCCCAGCCCTCGGGAAGGTGGTGCGGCGGGTCTTGAAGACAACAGGATGCCGAGGAGCAGGCTGTCCCCTCCCCTCCTCCTCCCAGATCTACCCCGCTAAGTCCCACCGTCCACATGGACTTCTGCCTGTCAGTGACAACAAAGATATTTAATAAATGATGGCCATGTCAGTTGGGAGAGCCACCATTGTCTCAGTGTTCTAAGGTTACTGAGTTGCCACAGCTGGGACAGTTCCTCACCCCGGATCACTTCCGGAGATGACTTAATGGCAGGACATGGGGTTTGAGAGATCCAGGCTGCCTCAGGCTATGCTCTGGGCCAGCTGAGCTTGGTGGCTCCATAAAGTAACAGCAAGAGGCTGGCCTGGGGCAGCTGCCAGTTGCTGATCAGAGTCTGACCTTTAAGGGAAAAACCCTCTTCCCACCAGCGTGTGGAAGGTGGGGCAGCCTGGCCTCAGCTGACCAGCTCCATCAGGAAAGTGGGTGCTGTGGATTTTGCTGGCCCAAGGGGGTGAGGGCTGGTGACCTGCTGCTGTTACTCCCCCACCAGCAGTCCAGCAGGAAGCCTCGGGCCAGCTGTCACTTTCCGACCTTGGCTACACCAGGAACAAACACCCAGTGGGTGTCTGTCTGCTTGTGATGTGAGATCCTGGCACCAGGGCAAGCACCCCATCATTTACTCAGCAGAATGGCTTTGCCAGAGTCCTTCTGTCCCTTCACTCATTTCTGCCAGGAATTTTTGCCGGGACCAGGACATCGTTTTGTAGCACCCACCCGACGCCATGTTTCTGTCAGGCAAGTCTTGTCCTGATGAAGGAATCTCCGTGGAGCCTGCCTCCTGCCCTGGCCTTTCTGCTCACATGGACACAGGGCCGTGGAGGTATGAGTAGTGCCAGTGGGCAGTGCTCCAGGCAGAGGAGCAGTTGCAGAGCAGTGCCTGCGGCCGCCCTGTACTAGAAACTAGGGAGCAGTACACATATGGACTAGCTGTGACCTTGGACGTGGTGGTCTGTCTGTAAAACAGACACTCTCTGGGCATTTGAAAGGCAACTCGATGCCCAGGGGAAGTGGGGGCTGCATCTTGGGCCAACCCCCCCGCCCCCATTGGGGAAACTACTGGAATGTGTGGGCGTGGGGAGGGGAGGCTGCAGGCAAAAGCAGGGCGGGAAGGAAAGTGGGAAGTCTGGTGATGGGTCCGGCTGTGGCGTGGCTGTCGGCGTCCACTGACTCTGGCTGTGAAGGACCCCCCGCCCCACAGGCTGGAGTTGGTAACAGCACAGACACCATCACTCACAAAGGAACACTCACTGAATCTGGATTCTTATTTTCCTTAGAAGAGCAAAAGGATCTTTCGAACCCTTCAGCCACCAGTGAAATGATCATGCAGGAGAAAATCTTTAGATGGGAGTCTGTCGTTAAAAATAAATACAGTTGCCCAAAGCTGCTCAAGATCTGAATCAAACTAAAAACAGGAAGGTGGGGGGTTGATATGTTATTTTAAGAACCTCCCCACCCCCACCTGTGGGTCACTCCATGGGCGGAGGGAAGAGAGGCCAGGAGGCCTGGCCACACCATCTCGGTGGTGAGCGAAGCCACGGCTGGATCGGATCAGATCCGGTTCTGGTGACGCAGAACTGCACTCGTGACACCGGAGCTGGGTCCGAGGAGCAGGATGGGCGGGCGCTGGTGGCAGAGCAGGACCTTACTTCTGCTGCAGCTCCTTCATTCTGTTCAGAGCACTGCCAGCGCGGAACCACTCGATCTGGGTCTCGTTGAAGGTGTGGTTCAGGAGGATGGTCTCCTGGGTCCCGTTGGGGTGCTTGATGATGCATTTCAGGGGCTGGGAGGAGGAGGGGGAGGAAAGCAGGTGTGGGTGGCCTGGCTCTTGGGAACACGGCCCTCGGTTCTGGTAGAGGGTCAGGAGGGTGGGTCACTGCTCTGGGTCCTTGGGGCCAGCAAGGCGAACCAAATCCTAGGCCAGGTCTGGGCCTCGGTGGCCATGCTAAGACCTAGATGGCTTAACTCCTGGGGCCAAGAAGGTCCTGCGGGGCATGGGCTGTTGGCCTCTGAGTGCCAAGCCTGGGCTACTGAGTGGACGGTAGGAGGGCCTGAGCTGGCTCTACCCTCATCTCTGGGAAGGCATTTCCTTCCCTCTCTAGGGGGGTTACCTGGAGAATTTAGGGGCCCTTCTAGCCGGAACAGAGGCTCACGGGAGGAGGTGCAGGTAGGGCCAGGTTTAGAAGGAGGGGAACCAAGGTGGCTGCCCCCTCCATTCCCCTCCCCTCTTAGGAGGGCCCTGGGGGAAATAGGCTGGCTGGTCCACCTCCTTCCCTGGTTCCCTACCTTGCCAGGGGCAAAGTCCTTCAGGCCCTGGATGGTCAGCTTGTCCACAGGGTGAATCTTGTTGTAGTCGGCTGGGTCAGCGAAGGTGAGGGGCAGTAGACCCTGCTTCTTCAGGTTGGTTTCTAGAAGGCAGAGGGCACACTCAGTCCATACACAGCAGGTTCCTTTCATGAGGAACCTCACCAACCAAGTCTAGTTAAGGCTCTGGGAGAGGCACCCCTAGTCCTGCCACATGGGGACAAACCTGGGGCATCAACTACGAGGACCAAGGTGGCGCACTCCCAGTGACGTGGGGCCCTATGCAAGTGTGCTTTGGTGCCTGTGTTTCCTGAAGCCTCTGACAATCAGAGACAATCCTTTGACCACGTGCCCTGGATTTCAACTGCTACAAGTTTGGAAGCAAGACCAGCACATGCTAGAGATGGGAAGCCGTGGGTGTCAGAATCCACGCAAACCTGAAGGGGCAGAGGCTGGAGGCTGGTGATGGTGGAAAATGAGCTGCCGACACGCCCTAGGAACCAGGCGTGTGGCTCCAGGCCCCACTGGGCCACTGGCAGGTTGTGGAACCTTGGGCTGCCAGCGAGGGGAGGTGGATGGGGCTGGGATGGGGCTCCAGCTCACCGTGGATCCTGGCGAAGCTCTTGGTGATGATGGCCCGGCCCCCGAGGTGGCGAGGCTCCAGTGCCGCGTGCTCCCGGCTCGAGCCCTCACCGTAGTTCTCATCTCCGATCACCACCCACCGGATGCCATGTGCCTGTCAGGAAAGTAAGGAGCGACTTTATGAGGGAGAGGAGGGCACTGGCCCCCCTCCTGCACAGTCCTCGGGCTTCCTAAGGCTCACAGGTCAAGGAGCTAGAGAGTCCCCTCCTCACCTGCTCCCCAAGGACAGGTGAAGTTAGAGGTGAATCTGGCCCAAACCAGGCCCTGGGAAGACATGTGATGAGACACGGGCCCTGGCTGTCTGCAGTGGGCCTGGGAAGGTGCGACCCCCGCCCCCCGATCAGTGCTCAGCCTGGAGGCAGGCGTGAGTGGGGGGCACAGTGTCGGGGAGAGCCCAGGGCAGTGGGGGTGACAGACATGGGACTGCCTCCGTGGCACTGGGACACTATTCAACTGCAGAGTTACTGGTATGGACTCCCCCTGTCCCTGAATCACCCACTGCCCCATGCAGCCACCAGGAGGTGCCAGAGGACCCCCATCCCTAACCCCCACCAACCCACCTTGTAGTAGCGGGCAGTGTCAGGGACTGGACCAAACTCCTGGGTGACGGCATTGCGCACGGAGTTGGCCTTGCCATTTTCGATGTTGACGGCACCGATGAGCAGATTATTGGAGATGTTGTCCAGGTGCCCACGGAACTTGAGCCAGGGGCCAGCAGCCGAGATGTGGTCAGTGGTACACTTCCCTTTGACCTGGGGTGGGTGAGCAGAGAGAACAGAGGTCGTGGCAGGGCCTCTGAGTGGCGGATGAAGGGAGTGGCCCTCTCGAGGCATGCAGCGGGACCCGGGGATGGGGACACGAGAAGGATGTCGGGCTGTGACACAGGGTCTACAGTTTTGGCGTCACCACTCTGGCCAAGAGGGCTCAGGCAAGGCTGTCGCCCACCCCTCAGAGGGGGTCGAGGAGGCTGGACATGGAGGACACGTATGTCTGCTCACTCACCCTTTAGACCTAGGCCCTCAGGTAGGAGATGCCCAGGCTGGAAGACCAGCTACAGATCTCATGCCAGACACAGAGAGGAGCCCAGGGATGTGTCTGGGTTCTGGCTAGTGACTGATCAGTTTCATCTACCACGTGGGCCTAATACTGGCCGTGACACTGCCTGGAGACCCCACAGTTAACAGCATAATGCACGTGTGACATGGGTCTGAGGCCTCTGTCTGTACCACAAGAGCTTGTCTGCTCAGCTCCCAAACACAGGCCATACCCCCGATGCTCAACTGTGGGAACAGAGGAAATGACGTCTTCCGGAGCTTGTCTTGCAAGCCAGATGTGTGGAGACCTGGCTGTGCAGGGTCACATGTGCCCATCTTGCCCTCCCTGTGCTGCATTCACTACCCACACCCACTGGAGGTGGCCCTCACCAGCTGGAGCAGGATTGCTGAGGGCCTCAGACAGCAGCTGGCCAGACTCAGTTCTGCCCAGCACGGGGCAGTGGAAGAGGGGACACAGATGCCCTCACTCCTCTGCAGCCAAACCTCCCTTCCTGCCCCCACCCTAATCTTGACTGTGTCCTCCACCATGGTCCATGGGAGAACGTGTGGTTTCACGGCCCTTCCTACCAATCAAGGGAGGGTGCCCTGGCAGCAGGGCTGTCCTCCCTGTCCCCATGCCACTGACCTTGATGAGGATCTGCAGGTCCTCCAGGTCTTTGCCATCCCACTTGTCAAAAGGCTCCAGGAGCTGCAGACGCTGGCTGGTGGGACTCACGTCCACCCGCTGGCCGCTGCTGTCCTTAGGGGGGTGCTGGTAGGTGTCCTGTCCAGGATCGAACTCCTGCAGCAGGGGACAGGGCACATTGGGTGCCAGCCCCTCAGCCCCCATTCGGAAAGGCTCTCACGGAAGGCAAGCTCCCCCGAGCACCAAGCCGCTCTCTCCCGGTGAACATGGCCGCTTCACTCTCACAGACAGTGAGCGTCCCTCCTGGGCAGGAAGTGTCTCAGCCACACAGCGGCCCTGAGGCCCAGGCCGAGGCGGGCGTGCAGGACAGGTGGCCGTGGTGGTGCCTGCTCACCTCTCGGGGAAGCTCATCTGCATCTGGAGCCTCCAGCTTGAACTTCTTGCCATCCTTGCCCGTCAGGAAGTCAGTATCTGGGTTGAACTTGAGGGTGCCAGCAATGGCCAGGGCTGTGACAATCTGAAATGGAGGCGGCCAGTTTGTCAGTCGGCACCAAACTCCACTCCCGTCCCTCCACCTCAGCAGAGACCAAAACTGAGCTGGAGCCCAGGAAATTTCCAGATTCTCCACAGACCACTCTTCCCCTTAGAGGTGGGAACTGCAGGAATCTCCCTGGGACCAGGGCCATTGGGCCCGCAGGGGACTCATGAACCCAAGGGTAATCTGGCCTCTACCACCCCCACTGGGGCCTGACCTCAGAGCCCCCTCGACCAGGGTCAGTGCTGGACCCAGAGAGGCCGGAAATGCGGCTGCAATGAAAATGTTCCTTAATGGGCACTGAAAACATGGGAAGGGCCGTTTCTTCGCAAAAGTATTTCTGGAACACTCATTCAAAAAACCAAGTTACAAAAGACTGGCCAAGTGCGGACAACCACTAAGTGCCCGGAGCACGCGGCTCAGTGGCTGTTCACCATGACAGCGGCCTCCCTCCCGGCTCAGGGACAGTGCGAGCACCTCCTGCGCTGCTCCTGGGCCGCCGACAGGACCCTGGGGCACAGAGGAGGGGAGCGACAGAGTCAAGGCCATAGGGCTGGGTGGAGGTGGGCTGCCTTCTGTCCCCAGGTGATGCTAAGGCTCCTGCTCACCATCGCAACTGTGCTAAATGAGACCTCAGGCTCCTGCGACTGAGCGGAGCCAGGCGGGGGGCACCAAGGGAGCTTGACGCCTGGGGCCGGCAAGGTTTATGGCTCTTGGTTTCTGCCCTGACAGTCCCTTGCCCTGTGATGCCAAGCCTCCCTCAGCAGCCCTGCAGGATCAGACGGCCTTCCCCAGTGCCCCTACTCCCCTGACCGGCCAGCAGCAGGGCCCCGAGAGGCCGTCCCAGGTTAGGGCCGGGCCTGGCAGAGTCTCACCTCAGGGGATGTGACGAAGGCATGGGTCTCGGGGTTCGCATCATTGCGGCCTGTGAAGTTCCTGTTGTAGGAGGTGACGATGGTGTTCTTCTCCCCCTTCTTGATGTCCTTTCTGCCAGGTCAGAGGGGACAGAGTTAGGGATGTCTGGCCTTGCCACCTGGCCCATGCTGCCTAGCTCATGGCAGAGGAGGGGGAACTGGAAAGACCCTGAAAGGGTCACCTCCTCC